TGATCTCTATCCCGTAAGTTGATTTCGAACAAGTCCTAGCATCATAAACTTCTAGTTCACATTCTTTGAACATGAAATAAAGTAGGAAATAATATCGAAGCAACCTAGGTTTTGCAATGAGGTTTTGGGATGGGCTCTAACTCCTTGTAGTCTCCCGGTTTAAGTTCTAAAAAGGTACCCGAGTTCTCCTTGCTGGTGCCCCCTTGGGCTTGTCAGACCCTTAGTCCTAAGCCCATTACAAGCTTATGTGGACTAAGTTAAACTCGAGAGGATACATTCCCTTATGTCGCATGGTGAATAAATTTACACGAAGATATAAGGTATATGAATCCCGAAGGTTACTTGCTAGGCCCGCATGAATAATAAATTCTCACGAAGGCATCGCTTTCACCCCACTTAAAAGGGTTGGAGCTCGGGTATAGAGTCTGAGATGAAAATTTTGAAAATTTGAAATCATTGAAAAAACGTTAGTACAACTATTTACTTGAAAAAATAACAAAAGATAAATAATTGGAATTGAATAAATAAATTAAAATTAAAATTTACCATTTTCGCTTAAAAAGACAACCGAAAATTAATTTCGGCCTGACTCACTTACCTGTCCCTAGTAGAGTCGCCAAACTGTCGCGATCGTCTTTCGGGAGGGCCCAGAATTAGGCTTCTACTTAAAATAAAAATGTTAGAGTCGCCACCGACCATTTTAAAATGAATTTAGGTAGGTCGGACACCATCTTACCTGATCTGCGTTTTACCAGAAACGTGTCGGGTTCAGGAGTCGGTTACGGTCAAGAAATGATTATCACCATTGAACCGCCCTTTCGGTACTAATTAATTTTTCGGTTGTCTTTATTGACGAAAATTTAAATTTAAATTTAAAAATCCGATTTGAATTACTTACCTTTGATTGGTTGTAATTTCTTCTAAAAAATCGAAAATGTGAAACAAAAAATAATAAATAAATATTAAATAAATTAAAGGAAAAAAATAAAATAAAAAATAAAACAAAATAAAAATATTAAATAACTCTCTCGTTGGTACAAGGACCAACACTGTCATAAACATATCAAATTTTATTTTATTCATGCTTAAACAAACAAAACAAAAAAATTTTAAATTATTCATTCTAAACAATAGGCTAATTCCCATTAAACCGTATCCAATATCTGATTTCAGTTTCATGCCTCAACATTCAAATTTGTCTTTGCACTCTGTGGAATTATATTGTTCCGATAGTATCCAAAGAAATGGTCAATAACATTATAAAAGAAAATATCCAATCAGCAACAAACATGCAACTTACAGTTTCAAAGAACTTGATACCATATTCATCAGCAAGAGATTGACCCTTGGAGTTCGGCACAGCCCTTTTGCTCTAATCCATATTAGCTTTGTTTCCGACCAGTACCTTGTTGACATTGTAGGTTGTTCTCTCCATTCTTCTCTCTGCATTTGTCGGGTTTTGTAGCACGATGTGTGGAACCTCTGTTATTTTCGAGTGTCCGGCGAAGGTGGCGAACCACTTAGTTCTCAAGAGGCACAGTGGCCTGATCAACCACCAGTAACAGTGCGGTAAACGGATCAGCCTTATAATAAAACCGGAAACAAGAGCTTTTAGGAAGTGGGTATGGCAATTAAAGTAACATCCTTATTCTCCATCTCTCCCCCTTTCCCATTTCTGGTGGCCCCCCTTAAAAAGAAAAAAAAGAAAATGGGATTTTGTTTTTTAGTTAATGGGGGTAGTGGTGGTTGTTGAGCGGTGTTTGTGAGAAACGTGGGAATGGGGGTAGTGGGTTGATTTGTTTTTTTTACTTTGGCTTTAATGGGTGTTGGATGCTGGGCCTGTATAAAAATTGGGGTCTATAGTTGTTTTTCTTTGTACATTTTTGTGTTAATAAGAATAGGGCAAAGACAAAAAGTGCAATCAATTTTTGTCTGGTCCTCTCAAATGTGATTGAGCTTCCTGAAATTGGGTCTTTGTCTTCTTCTCTTAAATATTTCGGCTTGAAAATTCTTCCAGAAAGTAGTTCCTCGTTGTCATGAGCTGAATGAAATCGAACTCGTCAATTTTTGTTGACAGATAGCCCTTATCACCTTGAGCTATGTTGTAATTTGATTTACCTCTGAGTTGAATGTAATCGAACTCGAAGGTCTTTGGTTGGCAGATAGCACTTCTCGACAAACACTATTCCATAATATCTTCAACCTTTCCAAAATAGTTATTCAATTCTATAATATTCATTTTCATAGTCAATCCTTTAACCTTCATAAACTTTGCATTATAGTCACCATTTATGAATTCGTATTAGAATTCACATCAATGTTCCCATTTAGCTCAAAATGATCCTTCATTGTTTGCACTTATTTCAATTCAAATGCTAAAATTTCCAGCATTGTAGTATTACACTCAACTAGTACTTTCACATTTACAAACTTGCAATTAAGTCACAGGTTTCCATGATTATTCAAATTCAACCTTGATACTTAACCAAATTTTCACTTTAGTCCCAAATCATTATTCTAACTTAAAATTCAGCCTTCCACAATTAAATTCCAACATTTAATACCCATAATTACACAATTATAAATCAATGTCTCACAATTCCCCAAACTTGCAAAAATGGTCCTTTTACTATCTCAATGTTCCAAATTGATCTAATTCAATCTCCAAAGCGTGTAGAACTCATCTAATAAAAATTCTAGACCATAGGAAATTTTTCAACATTTTTCCCTTAATATTCTCCCCATGGCCGAACCTATTGAAACAATTAGGGTAAACTTTTCATTCAATTTCAAGCATGAATTCAAGCTCCTATGATTAAATTCATGCTATTCCAATCATCCTAACATCAAATTCAATCAAAATTCAACAAATCTTCATAAGCTCTGGCCATGATCGAATTTTATGTAAGCTTTTCTAGATGATTTTAACCATCACTTATACTTGAAAAATAATCTACAACCTCAATAATGTAAAAATCATCAATTAACTCTTTAAAATCTAACGTGTTCTTCAACCACCCAAATAATGAAACTCATCATCCAAACATGATTTCCATGAAATTTTTATACCAAATGATAGAGAATTTTAAGAGGAAAATTAAAAATCAACCATGGAAGCTTAAAAATCAAATTAAAGTCCTCACCTTTGTAACTATAGAGGTTTCGACCACTTGAGGAAGATGGATTAAAATTTCTTGAATTTTCTCTAATAATATCTAATACACATGGCTTAATATTCATATAATTGAATTTAAAATTCAATCAATGAGAAATTTCACTTATACCATTAATGAACCATGATAATTACAACTTGTCATTGAAATATCTTCCATTTTAATATTCCATAGTCAAAGTTGAACCAATTTAAAGTTGACTTTCTAGTTTGGCTATGCAATTTTCAAAAATTGCAATTTAGTCACTAAATTTCCCAAAGTCGGCTAAATATGGAAAATCAACTTCAATCCCACTGATACACATTAAATTTCACTATTCTAAAATATGGAAATAATATTTCCAACCTTTATCTATCATCCTTCAAATTTTCGTGAAATTCTGATTTGATCATATTATCCTATTTCTTATATGACTTTACTACTTTATAGCATTTAATACAAATCCTGAATCAAAATTCTTATTCCCACGAAAACGTTAATTTCAGAACAAACTATTCATTTACGGGCCAAAATATATAACTTTTAAAAATTATATTTTTGTCCCTAAACTCTTACAAAGTTTATACTTTGCCACCAAACTTTCAAAAATTATATTTTAGTCACTAACTAAAATTTGGGGTATTACAATACCCTACTTCTAACTTAAAACCTGGAATTATAAACCCTAAACCCTAACCCACATCTAAACCATACAATTTAAACCCTACACATTAATTTATGATTTATAATTTAGGGTTTTAGGTTAGGGAAAGGGTATAAAATATGCAATTCAACAACTTTGAGGACTAAATTGATCGAAAATACGATAGGGGCGAAAATGATAAAGGTCAACTACAAGGGCAAATGTGACCCTTAAGCCTTTATTTTACATTAATTTTGGAGTTCAAAGTATATTTAATATGTAGTTGCAGGCATAATATGTTACCTTTAGCTGTTGCATCAACTGTACTAGTTATCGGAGCAATGTTTTAAAGATAGTTTTACATATGCAGGCATGGCAGGAGGAAGTAGAGCGTGGACACAGAGGTCAAAGGGAGCAGGCTCTATTCATTAGAGGAAAGTATCCAATGTTTTCTCTTCTTTGCATGTTTCAATAATAGTGAGTATTAGGACAAAGGGTTAACTACTAATGTGACCGCTTTACTATGGTGAGATATTATATCTTATCACTGGTTTTTTAATTTTGATAATTACACTAAATTTTTAAAATATGTGAATCAAATCATCTCTCATTGACATCTGATAGGATAATTAACAAAAAAATTGTATAATTATACATTTAGTCCCCATCACTTGTACATTCTATCAATTTAGTCATAATATTAATTTAATTCAATGAATTTAATTTCTCCTTGTCGAAATCTATTACTCAGTTTTTTTTACCATCCCTAAATAATATTAGGTTTGATATGATTATACAAATGTGATAGATTTTTTTCGAATTAATCACTGATATCCAATCTATTGACCGACTAATCTAGACCGAATTTTACAGATGCCCATTTTAAAAGCGACTCTCCCAATCTAATTTGCTTCATGGGTTTTGAATTGGGCATATCTATTGAATATTCAGCAGAGTTATTGGGCTTGAATTTCGTTGTTATGATTCTTAATGGTACTAAACTTTGGACCCAAAAATAAAATACGCCTATTTTTGGCCCTTTCGTGATAACCCCATCACGATTTTAATCAAGAGGCCGAAGCTAGCTTGGTCTACCTCATGGTTTCTGGAGAAATCTGGAAATTAAGATCCAACTGGATCTTTAATTTCTCCAGAAATGTCTACTCTTCCTTTAAAACATCTATCCTCCATTTTCTCTCCTGTACTTTAAACCAAGCAAGGCAGGAACAAAGTAAAAATGTCTCGAACTCTTTCGAATGTCACCTTTTCTTCTCCTTTTTACCCTTCGAACAAACCCAACAATCCTTGCCACTTCCCCTTCATAAAACTAAACAACCGAATCTTCAAATGTAAGAACAACATCAAAGCCATGGCAGCAGAAAACAGATGCAACCTCGACCACTTGCAGAGAGCTACTACCAGACCCGACAAGAAAAGAGTTGCCCCGACAGGTAAGTAGCATGACCCAAAGCTTAACTTCTTCTCTCTTGTTTTGGGATGCCGATTGAATCTCGAACTCGTGTGAAAACAGGGTCATGGGTCAGGTTCCCAACAGCGAGAACAGTGCAACAGATGATGGAAACAATGGAGAGGATAATGGAAGACCCATCTGCATACTCGACGCCATTGCCATCCTCGCCCGAGAACAGCAGAGGAAGGAGGACGCCATGGGAGATCAAGGAAAGAGAAGGGGAGTACAAGGTGAGATTCGATATGCCCGGGATGAACAAAGACGATGTCGAGGTCTGGGTTGAGGAAAATACTTTGGTTTTCGAGGCGGAGAAAGTTGATAAAAACAGGATTACTGGGGAAGAAGAAGAAGAAGAAGAATGGGATGTCAAGAGCTTTGGAAGGTATGGTAGTAGAATTGTACTGCCTGACAATGTTGAATTTGAGAAGATTAAAGCCCGAGTGAAAGATGGGGTTTTGTATATTACGATTCCCAAGGCTAGTCGTGATGGTAGGGTCTTGAACATAAATGTTAATTGACAATTTTGAACGTTCGTTCTATTTAAACTATTACTATATAAGATAATTTGAAATTAGTTATAGTTCTATAATATTATCGTCTCACTTTTTTTTCATTAATTTAGATAATATAATATAATATAATATCTTGATATTTTTGATGTTCTAAGTCTTCAAGGAATAATTCATGTTTTTCTCACTTTATATGAATTTGAATTCTAATAATTATCTTAAAAACATAATATTTTTTATTTAATAAAAAATATATAAATTTTAGTTAAGAGGTTAAAAGTTTAGTAAGTTATACATTAAAACAAAATTTTGTCAAGTGATGGAAAGCTCTGAATCTCTGAACGACGCAAGTGATGCCTCGGCCACCTCTAACGTCTCTTCGGCGATTTTCGAGGCTACCAAGAAAGTTATCTTTAAAGAATCGGAGAACAACCTTCTCCAAGACACAGTGATGGAAGGTGTGGAACCATTTTAACCTACGCCCTCCTATGCAGCGATTTTGACCGAAAAAGGCCAGGATGACGTAATTTCAGTTTGAGCACAGGCTAGTATGGAGGAGGAACTCGACATCTCTGATGATGATATTATTGGTACTCGCTACGGGTTGCCGTCATCCAATTTTCAGATCGTGCTATAAGCTTATAGAATCAACCATGGCTAGGACGGTCTGTTGGGGAGGAATATCGGCCTCAACGCTCTCAATAACAGATTCTATGCGCTATGTAAACCTTCCCAACCTTTCACACTCACGAATTTAGAAAAGAAAAAATAACTTCAGTGATCGAAAATCCCTTATAATATACGATTTTAACCAATTTTTTTTGGATTTACGAAAATAACCAACAATTTCGGAACGCGAACTCTAATTTCGCAACGCGATTCTCCAAATTCGTAACGCGATTCTCAAATTCGCAACGTGATTTTCATTTTTGTAACGCTAATTACCGATATAGGTAAACACAACTATTTGCGAATTTCGTTTCTACAACGCTAATTACAGATATAGGTAAACACAACTATTCCCAACTTAGTTTTCAAATTCACAACTCGAATTCGTCAATTTCGCAACTAAATTACCGATATAGCTAAACTCGGTAGAAAAAATCCGATAAAAAATCTGAATTCGACAATTTGAAAACTGAGTTACGAATTTAACAAATTCGTGTTGCGAAATGTAAAATCTCGCCTCTTAAAGAAAAAAATCACGAGTAAATAATTATTTTGATCTTTGTCAATTTTAAAAGTGAGTAACTAATCACAATTAGTTCAATATGATTAGAAGAATTTTTTAGTTCAATATGGTGGTCACACTTAAAATTTTGATTAGTAAAAAATCTCGTTACGAAAACGAAATTCGCGTTGCGAATTTGAAAACTGAGTTGCGAATAGTTGTGTTTACCTATATCAGTAATTAGCGTCACGAATTTGGAGAATCGCGTCGCGAATTTAGAGAATCGCGACGCGAATTTGGAGAATCGCGTCACGAATTTAAAGAATCGCGTCGCGAATTTGGATAATCGCGTCGCGAATTTAGAAACTATGTTGCGAAATTGGAGTTCGCGTTGTGAATTTGTTGGTTATTTTCGTAAATAAAAAAAAATTGATTAAAATCGTATATTATAAGACATTTTCGATCTCTGAAGTTATTTTCTCTTTAGAAAATGGGTATTTCTTGGCTCGATTCCAAAATAACAATGACTATACCAAAGTGCTTGCCGAAGGGCCATGGATCATTGATGGTCAGTACTTAATTGTTCAACCATGTAATATGGAGTTTCGTACGTCCCAACCGTATCCTACTATGGTCGTGGCCTGGACTCGATTTCTGGGGCTTCCAGAATATCTTTACAACATGAATTTTTTTTTATGAATAAAAGCGAAATAACTAACTAATTAATTCTATTAACAATCAGACTTTCTAATCCTAATATATCCTCATGTATAAGAGGTCTTGTAGGGAAGGTGGTTAAGCTCGACTTCCATCAAGAAACTACTAACAGGCGGCGTTTTGCTAGAGTGGTAGTTTACATTGACCTTACGCGGCCTCTAATCTCTAAGGTAGTTGTCGGAAATAAAATTCAAACGGTGAGTACGGAAACCTCCCTCTCATATGTTTCGATTGTGGAAGATTCGGAAATACGAAGAAAGCTTACAACATCAAAAATCAGAACCAAGACTCTGTTACCCCGGAGCAGACCGCCTCTAAACATTCATGTTCGACTTCGTCCGCCTCCCAAACTGAAAACCAGGATGCGAAGGCCGGAAAGTCGACAGTTGAAAGCTTTAATAGTGCTATGACAGCCGACTCAGCGATGTACAGTCCGTGGATGATGGTCGAGCGTCGTCGGCGGAAACAAGCCACCGGAACGGCAAAGAAATCGAATCAAAATAAAATCGACAATGATTCTGGCTCTCGATTTGCTGCCTTAGCTGTGGTCGCCCAAAATCAGTGAGACTCTCACAAACAAATCGGGGAGAATGAAGCAACAAATCAAGTTTCCACTATTAGTGCACCCCAAATTAATCCGAAAAAGGGGAATAATTATGCTCCTGATTTCACACAGATTCCTTCAACGACTATTGTGAAGCATCTTGATCGTGGAACTCATACAAAAGGCAAAACTGTAGCTGAACCCCGACAAGTGGCTGCCATTCCCAAGGAACTGGACCCCACAAACCATTAAAACGTATCCAAGGTAACTAGGTAAGTGAAGCCGGGGATGAGGATGGGTTGGGTTATGGCCAACTCCACGCGATTCGAATTTTTTTACATATTTTACTAAATTCAATCCGATCCAAAACATAGTTACCCTCTATCCTACTTGAATTCTATATGATTTTTTGAGATAAAATTTGAAACCGATTTGATTCGACCTGAAATAATAATAAAATATTATTTTTATTCAATAAAAACAATGATTTAATAAAAAATAATAATATATAAATAAATATTATTGTAATTATTCCTAAATATATAAGGTAAAATTATATTTTTTCCGGGTCGGATTAGATATTTTTCACTCTAAACCTAAATCTGACCAGACTCAAACACCACCTTTCAAAAAACCCGACCCAATCCAATCTAATTTAAAAAAAAAACTTGATCCGATTGGGTCGAGTCGAAATCCGTCTAGTTCGGGTCCCAATCTCATCCCTAAGTGAACCCCCAATGCTCTCTACCATAATTAATACTCAAGCTCCTTTGCCCATGCAGATTATTCACGTGTAGGGTAACAATTAAGCTAGCTCATTCATGCAAAACAATATTTCCCTAGTTACTGGAATTGTCAATCTCAACGGTGGCAAATTCACGTCCAATACTAACCCAATCTTCGACAATTCCCTCGGTCTTGAGGGAAAAATGACGAGAACCTCTCTTGATCCCACGATGCATGCAGCTATTTCCTTTAAAGAAAGGGCATACGCGTCTGCTCCTAGCAACCAATCTTCCCAGGGGAATAGACGCTCAGCAGCTACAAAGGAGAAAAGAAATGCATATGCCGTTAGAAGCAAAGGAATTAAATTTAAGGATAATTTTCCAGCTCGTCCATCCATCCGAGAGGCTATTAACAACATGGTGCAAAATCTTCAAGACCCTCTCCATGTGTTCACTGGCGACGCAGGACAAACAGGCGCTGCTCTTGGCAATGATCAAACAAGGTAATCTTTTCCTTTTTCATGGACTTTAAGTTGTTTTCTTGGAATTGTCAGGGTTGCGGCGGACCTCGCTTTCCTAGAATCTTAAGAGAATATTGTCACGGGTTAGAAACTTGGGTCCGAGGCATTGGTGTAAGCGTCCGACCAAGAGGTTCAATATGGAGAATCGGACTTACCGTGACCACCAGACTTAGCCAATTCTTGGAGAATGCTTAACAAGTCCGTGAAAGATCTATTCCGAGGTGTCCGAGAGAAGTGACGAGGGCGATGGGGGCAGTGTTGTCGAGGCTCGTGGATTCGTACCGAGACATGCGAGCAGATATCTGTAAGAGAATTATACAGACTATTGGGCTTGCCCAGAACCATCAGATCTGGCCCGTTCCTTGGAGGATTCTAGAAGGATAAGGTTAGGTGGGATTGCCTTAAATTAAGGGAGGTGGGTTAGGTGGGAATCAATCCTAGCCCTTCATGTAAAACGATCTTAGCCATCGATTGAGAGGGAGCTCCCCTATAAATAGAGAGCTCTCCTCCCCATTTGTAATCACCCAATTTCATTCTTCTCTTTTTGAGAGAGTAACAAAGCTCTGAGGCATTTGCTCTATTCTTTCTGAGTTCTTAGTTTCTTTGTTCTTGTTGCCTATCTTGGTGGCTAGGAGTAGCCACCTTCGTGTTAACACTTCCACACGATAGTCCGACCTTGTGGCTCGGAGTAGCCACGTTGGTGTTTAAAGCTTCCGCAATCCGAAGCCTTGAGGGCTTGGTTCCAACCTTTGTGAGTTTGCACACTCACTTAGCTTGGGTAAGGCTTACTTAGAAGACCGAGGAGCGTCTAAAGCGTCTAAGGCCGCACGACCCATCAGACCTTGACTCTGATATTCCGACGGTTTGAGGCGTCGAAGTTCTGGGGGCGTGACAAGTGGTATCAGAGCATTTCGTTGTGAGCAGATCACGGTCGAAACGTATTTGGTGGAAGGTGCGAAACCGGGTAAGTTCTGTTTACCTACTCTTCATTCAATTTAATTTGATAATTGAAATGGGGCACAATAAAAGAGGAGTTTCCGCACGCAAAGGCAAGGAGTGCCATGGTGGGAAACAAGATGAGAGTCCGAGGGGCTCAAGAGCATCATCGGTGTCCAAGCATGAGGATTCCGTGATGAGTTCGCAAGGAATGCTCGAGGCAACAAAAGCACACCAAGGGGAGCCGGTTCTCGAGGTAGAGAGGCTCAAGGGTGACGCCGAAGGCATGTCCGAGCGAGACGACATGTTCTCTCATGAAGACAAGGAGAGTCTTCATGAGGAACAAGGAGAAGAACTCTCATTGTACGAGAAATGGGCCTACTGGATGGAATGTAT